CTACGTATTTATGCATTAATTAGGGATATCTAGCAAGCTTGACCAACTCATTAATATAAAATGTATACCTGTTTTTTTTTTTTAAATTAAATTCTCTGTATTCGAAAGTTGCATTAGATTTTAATTAATATAAAATGTCATATTGGATTCTATAAAAAGAAAGTTTTGTAATTTCTATTACTTTATTTAGAAAATTCGAATTTAAAATTTTATTTTAAAAAAATTAAATTCTTTTACTTAAATTAACATATTATTAATACTATATTCTACTATCTTAATCTTAGAGTTTTGATTCTTTTAATTAGCTATATAAATAAATATGTTCATTTTTTTGGACAGTTTATATATATGTACCTCATGGACGGTCATGAATCCCCCTATCTGATGCTCGATCATTTCTGTGGTGATGGCTGACTCTGCAGGACCATAGATTTCAGGATCAAGCTTACTCTTCAACGGCCATTCCTGCGTGATTTTTATGCAATTAATTTCTCGTGAATATATATATGGACAGAAAAACTATTGTGCAACCAGGTACTGTAGTTGCATGACTTACACGGTAGGATAGGGATAAATCACTTGAGGTTAGAGACCATCCATGGGATTCTTATGTATGAATGAAATAAAATGAAAAACGCAACATACCGTGACTAGCCGAATGCCATATGGGTTAAGACCTGCGAGAGTTTGTCGAGCAAATTCCTCGTCTCTAAACCAAAAGAATTTATCTCCTGAAATTTTTTTATTTTTTTTAAATAAGGCCTTATTGAGAGAAAAATAAAAATACAGATGAAGAAGGAAGACAATCCTAACTGTTCATCGTCTCCGGTGTCTCAAAACGCAGCACTTCATCACCTCCGTCGGTGATGGCCTTCATAAGTCTGGGCAGCAGCGCTTGCCAAAGACCTTCCCTTTTAAGCGGAGGTAAACTAATCCCTTCGCTGAACAGTAAATCTATGCTCGTGAAATACTTAAATCCTTTTTCCTTATGAGCCGCCATCGTCGTCTCAATCGACGGTACCAAGCACCGCATTAGCGACGAAACCGTTTTCGCCGAAAATGTTATTTGCTTTATCTCTGAGAAGCACTCGTCTCTCGGCACCTGGAAGTGGCCCCCATTCCTCTTCTCTGACAACGGATCTGTGCTCCCTCACGAAATATCAAAGTTAAGATTAAAAATTCAATTCTTATGTAATAATTAAACATCAACTTATTATGTACCTTGGGTGCAGCGAGGGCGGCCTGTTCTGCATCGCCTGGGATATGGATGGTCTTTGCCTCCAAGCACTGGTCTTTGGAGTTCTGGATCCTTATCTGGGTCACCCAGATCGTTGTAAACGTCGTAGGCATAAATCCGGTCTTGGGGTTTACGCTCTCCGTGACCACTGCCTCGTAAATGCAAGAGTTCTTCTTCCCTCAGCCTTTTCAACCCATCCGGCGTTTCTGATGGCAAATAACACTGCTCCAATAATAAAATAATCAACATTACATTTAATTTAATTTTGAATATTAATTTTTTTAGATTATTTAAAGAACATGAGTATATTTTAAAACTATGTTTAGAAATATTTTAAGTAAAATTAACAAACTCTCTCTTCATCTTTTTCTTTTTAATTTTTTTGTTTAATGATTTTTTGATGTTATCAGATTAGTTTCATGCACTTTTTGAGCCAATCAAAAATAAATTATTCACATTATATTAAAAATTTTATTAAAAAATTATTTTTATTAGTTTTTTCAAAAAATTAAATTTTAATTAACAAAATA